AACCCCCTGCTCAGGCAGGTAGATCAATGTACTACTTCAGAGGTCACTTCTTGATAGAGCACATATTTACAAATGTGGAATTTTCTATCATCAAATGTAGACTGCTAACTTGAATACCTTGAAAGAAATAAACAAATTCATTTATTTTTATTATTATGGTTGATTGCACAGTCAGCCAGAGGTTTAGACTGGATTTGGCATTTTTATCTATCAAGTCCTTCCCAAGAACCTGGAATAGACAGAAGTTGTTGTTTCATGGTATTAAAAGGATCATTGTTGGACATAAGCTGCCTTTTGCAATTGACTGGTGGTGATTTTGTCAATGCTGACATGGTGCTCAAGTGATGCTCCAGATGTTTTGGCATTGTACCCAAGGCGCCTATTACCATTCTTTGCTTTCCCCCTCCCACAGTCATTCTAGTTCTGTGATTTTCTTCTATTCCGTTGCCTCCAGATTCTTCCATGTCCACTATCCAACTTTTTTGTCTTTCTTATTGACAGTTGTTAAGTCTGGGGTATTATGTGGCAAGTGCTTGTCTGTTTGAACTGTAAAGATCCAGAGCACTTTTAGCTTCTTCATTTTCTGTTACTTGTCTATTTTGTGGTGTTACCAGTTCTTGCTTTCAGGCAAATGGTACTTCTTGCACATATTTTTTCTCCACCATAGAAAAGGAGACAATGCCAATTCACTATGCAATCCTATGCCTGTCTACTCAGGAGTAAATATTACTGGCTGTGTTTGTACATCGTGTTTAATTGTGGTTTGTTTTAACCATTGTTTAGTGAATAAATCATAATTGACAGGGTTCACACATATGTTAAACTACAAGTAGTTCTTGACTTATGACCACAACTGAGCCCAAAAGTTTGTGTTGCTAAGTGAGACATTTGTTAAGGAATTTTGCCCCATTTTACAACTTTTCTTGCCATAGTTGTTAAGTGAATCATTGCAGTTAAGTTAGTAACACAGTTATTAAGTGAATCTGGTTTCCCCATTGACTTTGGTTGTCAGAAGGTCGTCAAAGGTGATCACATGACCCCGGGACACTGCCACCGTCATAAATATGAACTAGTTACCAAGCATCTGAATTTTGATCACATGGCCATTGGAATACTGCAACGGTTGTGTCATAAGTCACTTTTTTTCAGTGCTGTTGTAATTTTGAACGGTCACTAAATGAACTGTTGTAAGTCGAGGACTTCCTGTATAAAACAAACAAAAATGGTAACAGTGTAGGACTAGGATGAGGAGAAACAGTTTTTGATCTCCACTCAGCCGAGAAACTGGTTGGTTGCTTTGGATCAATCCTTCTCTCTTGGCCTAGGGCCGGGGTAGGCAACCATGGCTCTTTTATGACTCGTAGACTTCAACTCCCAGAATTCCTGAGCCAGCATGGCTCAGCATGGAAACCTCTTCCTTTCCCCTCATGGAATTCTGGCTCAGGAATTCTGGGAGTTGAAGTCCACGAGTCATAAAAGAGCCAAGGTTGCCTACCCCTGGTAGAGTATTTCACTGGCTAAGATGGGGGAGGGAATCATGTATGTCACGGATATGTAGTTTACCCAGATTTCATACAGGAATTGTGGGGATATAAATACAGCAAGAAGCCCTCATAGCTAAGTGAAATGCCCATGTCCAGGAGCAGTCTACCTCTTAGGCAAGTAAGAGCAGAGGGTCATGCTTGCCAGGTTTTCAAAGGCCTTGGACCACTCGATAAAGGCCACAATGTTTAGGAGCAGGGTGGCGCATGGCGACTCCAGTAAAAGACTTCTTATATTCTACCCTCCAGCCATATATTGCAATTCGATATCCATACCAGCTTGTTTAACTGTTTGTGAAGATCTCTGCTGATCTCAGGGCCATCTGTACCATCCACCAATTCACCCACCCCCAGCCACAAGGGAGTGAGGCTTTCTGCAGCTGTCTCATCTTCCTGGTCCCAGATCGTTAACCTGCTCAGATTTCCACATAACCTTTGCTAAGGTTTTAGCTGTCGCAGATCCACACTATTTTTAGGCATCCTGGACTTGTGTAATACTTGAAACCGCTCTACCAGCATTACCACTTCCATGGGGAAAGAAAATTCCAAACTCAAAAAGTTGTTTAAAACAGATTGTTTGAGGATTCTTGCCAATGAAAAACCTGACATGCTACAAAGGGATGTAACAACTGCCTCATAATACAGAGAGGCACGTAGAACTATGATTTTTTTAAAAGCAACTTGTAATATTGACAATAACAGCATAAATGAAATACAAATTCTAGACTTACGACCACAATTGAGCCCAAAATTTCTGTTGTTAAGTGAGACATTTGTTAAGTGAGTTTTGCCCCATTTTACAACTTTTCTTGCCATAGTTGTTAAGTGAATCACTGCAGTTGTTAAGTTAGTAGCGTGGTTGTTAAGTGAATTGCAAAAGGGGATCACGTGATCCGAGGACACGGCAACCGTCAGTTGCCAAGCGTCTGAATTTTGATCCCAGGATGATGGGGATGCTGCAATGGTTGTAAGTGCAAAAAACGGTCCTAGGGCATTTTTTTCAGTGCCGTTGTAATTTTGAATGGTCACTAAATGAACTGTTGTAAGTGGAGGACTACCTGTATAGAGAAGCTTGTAGAATAGTGATTTTTTAAAAAGCAATTTGTAAGGTATACAATAACGGCTTAAATTAAATATCTAAATCAGCCTTCCGGATTCAGTGCCCTCCGGATGAGGAGAAGGCAGCCTGCTGGCACCATTTCAACTAACACATTTTATTAAAAGCCTTAATCTTTTGGGAGTTACGGCTGACATTTTCAAATGCACAGAGTGATTAAATTGACACAGGATATAACCTGGGGTGAGGGGTCAGGTGAAAGAGAGGAAGCAAGAAGACAGGTGGCTATGCAGATACAGTTTACATGTGAGGCACATTATAAGTACCTTATCAATTAACAAATGTAATACATTAAGAACCTTTTGTCTGTGTTGACAAAGATGGTCTAAAACCTTTTGATGTGTAGGTAGTCCAAAGCTTACAACCATTCATTAAGTAACCATTCAAAGTTACAACAGTAGTGAAAAAAGTGACTTATGACTGTTTTTTCACATTTACGACCATTGCAGCATCTTCATGGTCATGTGATCAAAATTCGGCTGCTTGGCAACTGGAATGTATTTATGATACTTGCACTGTCACCGGAGTCATGTGATTACTGTTTGTAACCTTCCTAGCTGGCTTCCAACAAGCAAAGTCAAATGGGCCAGATTTGCTTAAAGATCTTATGATTCATTTAACAACTGCAGCAATTCACTTAACTATGGCAAGAAAGATCATAGAATGGGGCAAAATTCACTTAACAACTGCCTTTAGCAGTGGAAATTTTGAGCTCAGTTGGGGTCTTAAGTCTAGGTCTATCTGTATTTTATTAAATTCCACAATCTCTCAGCTTTACAAATCAATGATCAGATTCCTGATGTTTGGCTACCATAGACCACTGTTTCTTAACCTTGCCAACTTTAACCTGTGTGGACTTCAACTCCCAGAATTCCCCAGCCAGCATGTTGAAATTGCAGTCCACATTTTAAAGTTGCCAAGATTGAGAAACACTGGGATGGACAGTCACATACAAGACACAAGCAGAAGTGTCATATTGTGGGTCCATGTTTTATTTTTGTACCTTTCTTCATTTTTAACATATTCTACATGTCTAAATTTTCTCCCTAAACAGAATGAAGAAAGGGGAGTTATTTGATTACCTTACAGAGAAGGTCACCTTAAGTGAGAAGGAAACTAGGTGAGCTATTTCAACTGACCTGCCAATCTCGTCATCTGTCAAAACATGGAACTTCCTTCCTCTTTCATATAAGGGTCTCTTGCAAGCTAGTGAAATATGTGGTGCTTGGTGTAATCGATTATACAGATTAGTTGTGACTAAAATCTCATTGGTTTAAAAATAACAAAGTTTAGCAATCTTAGGCTAGATCTGTACAGTACTATATTACGATTCACCTCAGCCATAGCTTAGTGTATATGAAGTACTTTAAGACATGTACAAAATGTTTTCTTCTCTCCTTGCCAACTTTAAGATATGTGGACTTCAACCCCCAGAATTCCTCAGCCAGCATAAGGTATTCTTGGGCAAGATTGAGAAACACTGCTCTATTTGCTAGCCATAAGCAACTCATTTACCTTTCCAGGGATTTCAAGCATTTATAAGAGGTGTTCAGGGTGAAATTCAGTTTGAGATGCTGTACTAATGGATTTCTGCATTAGGCAGGGGTTAAACTAGATGTGCTCCTGGTTCCCTTATACCCCTTACAATCTATACTACAGTATAATTCTATGAAAGCACATTACAATATAGGATTTCCTGCACCTCTTTACTGCCCTCTAGTGGTTGTCTAGAATTGGGCAGGCAGCCCAGATCTGGTAGTCCTGGTGACATAATCCCCAAATGCACATATCCATTCACACCTAATGATTGTGATATCAAAATACTCCAACCTGACATGCTCTCCTAATATGTTGGAGATCTTCCAAAATATCTGAAAATTAGGGAAGACCAGTTGATCAATGGGCAATGCCAGGAACCAAGCATGGGTCCTTGGCAAGTGTATAAAAAATGTCTGCCTTTTCCAGATCTTTGCTCATTTAACTGATCAGACCATTTTCTCCCTGTAGGAAAATCATGCGTGCTCTTTTGGAAGTGATCCAGTTCCTCCATTCCTTGAACATAGTCCACAGAGATCTCAAGCCAGAGAACATCCTGCTAGACGACGACATGAACATCAGACTCACTGATTTTGGCTTCTCATGTCAGCTGCAGGAAAATGAAAACCTCAAAGGTGGCCTGTCCATCTTGGGCAGAGATTTTAAGGGACAGGGCTGTGAATTGGTGGCCTGCCTGTAGCCATGAAGCTTAGGAACGTAGCTAAGGAGAGACCTACATTGAATCAGCTTGCTCAAAACAGCAGTAGCATGTTGCATTAATCCAGCTATCACAATTTGCTAACCATAATATTAAGACTTTGCATATGGCAGTGGACTTAGCCAACGGTAAATCATTAAGTAAACCATGGAAACCTAGGGTTTAATGCAATGTGTAAATAATTTTCTACATTGACAAGGGCACTTCTTCAGGATTCCACACAAGGTTATGTCTTAGAAATTGAATTAGGGATCTTTTACAGACAATTTGCTTGATTGCTAAACCATCTTTAAGTCCTCTTTAGCTGCTCCAACGTTAAAATCATGTTTTTCTTCCTACACAAATTTTGTTGTGGATATGAACTGACATGATACAGTTGGTGATGATATATTTGGAGGCAAAGATTTTAACTCTTGTGGTCATTTTAGGCTGCTGCAACCATATACTGGTCTTGGGCATGGTTTTCCAGGGAAGATTAGACATGTGACTTCCACAGAAACATCTGCCTGCGTAATGCCAGACTATTGCTTTATGAAACACTTGTAGTAAGCTTCTTGTATTCCTGGAATTAGCATTCTTGTGAAAGAGCACTAGATCTATGTGTTAAGAATAGGATAAATTTTCTCTTGGGTGATCAATTTAAACTGAGAAAGACCAGAATTTTGTTATATTCAGATCCAGGTCGTAAATCCCCTTTTTTGGGTCCTTTGTAGATTTGAACACTCACTAAGCAACTGGTCATAGGGCTACCTATAATGCCCAATTCCCAAATTTAATCAGTATCTTGAACCATAAAATAGCCAACTGGATTAGGAGTATCTGTTATGCCAAACCACCAAGGAAAACTAAACTTCACACATTGTGTCAGTGCAGTCTTTTAACTCATCTGGCTGATCTGGCTTTGAGCACAGGAATGCGGCAAGACTTGCATCTCCTGAAACAAGGTCATCAAAGTTTCAGCCCAATTTTTTATTGCTTTTCTTGCAGAGATCTGTGGCACTCCTGGCTACTTGGCTCCAGAAATACTAGAATGTTCCATGGATCCAGATCATCCAGGTTATGGGAAGGAAATTGACATGTAAGCAGAATTGTGTAGCAAGTTCACCCATTACCTAAGCCATAATTTGGGTTATTTGGGTTTAAGCAAATAGCATGTGAGTTTTAGATATTCAGGGGATCTAGCACAATCAGTGATGTGTGAACATCATTAATTGTGGGATATTAATAAATCATGGCTAGTACAACACAGCTTAGAATGTGAATTCTGCTATATTTATCCTAATGAAAAAATAAATGTAGCTTTTTGAGGAACTCACTTTATTTCCCATCCAATCTTCTATAGCACGGTTTCTCAATTTTGGCAACTTCAAGATGTCTGGATTTCAGCTCCCAGAATTCTCCAGCTATTTTGCTGGCTGGGGAATTCTGGGATTTGAAATTGTCAAAATCACAATCCTAGGCTGCATTAACAGAGAGATAGAATCAAGATCATGTGAAGTGTTTATAACAGTTTATAATGCCCTAGTAAGACCACGCTTGGAATATTGCCTCCAATTTTGGTTGCCACAATGTAAAAAAGATGTTGAGAGTCTAGAAAAGGTGCAGAGAAGAGCAACAAAGATGATTACAAGACTGGAGGCTAAAACATGTAAAGAACAGTTGCAGGATTGGTTATGTCTATTTTAATAAAAAGAACTAGGAGTGGCATGATAACAGTATCCCAATATTTGAGGATTGCCACAATGAAGAGGGGGTCAACCTATTTTCCAAAGCACCTGGAGGCAGGAGAAGAAGCAATGGATGAAAACAAATCAAGGAGAGAACTTAGAACTGAGGAGAAATCTCCTGACAGTTAGAACAATTAATCAGTAGAACAACTTGCCTCCAGAAGTTGTGGATGCTCCAACTCTGGAAGTTTTTAAGAGGAGATTGGACAACCACTTTCTGAAATGGTATAGGGTTTTCTGCTTGAGAAGGGGGTTGGACTAGAAGACCTTCCATCTCTGTTATTCCGTTATTCTTAAAGTTGCCCAAAGTTGAGAAACAATGTTCTGTGGAGATGACTTTTCATCTCTGTCCATGTTATTGCTTTTTTAAAATGCGAGTTTCTCCCAAATTTGTCTTGTCCAAAATTATGCCCTCTTAATATGTTGGACTACACCTTGGTGTATTTCCAGCATAAATTGGACAAAGAATAATTATTTGCTTTAAGTACCAGCATATATAATTCTTTGTAACTAACAATTACAATATGTGGTATAATTGCTGTGTAAGTAAGACCATAACGATCATTAGTCTGCTTAAAACTTTACTACCTACTGAGGGCTAGAAAAGAAGACAGAAAAATCTATCCTGCTGCAACAAAGATGTTCTCCATCAACCTGCTTGTTCATCAACAGGGAATCTTTTGAGCTGATCTGTAGAAGGTGGTATTGTATGGTGTAGCTTAGGAAACAAATTCAGATTTGGTCAATGAATATTTTGTTTCCCTGCATTTTAAACATTTTAAACGCAGGAGAACAAAACATTCACAAACATTGATCTTCAGAAATGTTCAGTTTGTCCTCCTGACGGTTTCCATGTTTCAGGTGGAGCACAGGAGTCATCATGTATACCTTGCTGGCTGGATCTCCTCCTTTCTGGCACCGGAAGCAGATGCTGATGTTAAGAATGATCATGAATGGAGATTACAGATTTGGGTCTCCAGAGTGGGATGACCAATCAGATACAGTCAAAGACTTGGTAGGTAAATGTCTACGGAGATTCTCAGTCATCCAGGTCACGGTTGTCCCAAAGGTGCTTTTTTCATGAGGCAACTGGACTTTCTTGTTTTTCTTTGAAGACGTTTCGCTTCTCATCCAAGAAGCTTCTTCAGTTCTTCACTTCAGAGCTGAAAAAGCTTCTTGGATGAGAAACAAAATGTCTTCAAAGAAAAACAAGAAAGTCCAGTTGCCTCGTGAAAAAAGCACCTTTGGGACTTGGTAGATAACTTTCACCTGGATGGATCCAGAGGCTCTTGCAGAAAAGTAAATGAGAAAAATGCAGGATAGGGAAAGATCAAAGTAATTGGAACAGCTGTTGATTAAGAAATTAACACCAAAAGTACAGTACTTGAGCCCAATAGGAAAATGGTTCCCCTTTGTTTCTTGGTGTTCACTGTTCTGTGTAATGGGATTGTATGGAAAACCTCTGAATACTAATTATTAACCAGTGCTAGACCTGTTGTGTTTTCCACTGTGTTCAAAAAGCAATGCCTCAGCTTCTGAGACACAACTCTGTTCTTCTGCCTACAGATTGCCCACTGTTTAGTGGTGAAGCCGCAGAATCGTTACACGGTACAGGATGCCCTCACCCACCCCTTCTTCCAGCAGTACATGGTGGAGGAAGTCCGGCACTTCAGCCCCTTCCGGAAATTCCGGGTATCCCAAATTGCAGAGAATTCTGGGAAAGAGATGGCCATTTTCTTCAGTAATACCCAAGGATGGGGTGGAGGAGGTTTAACAAAGTTGAGATGATTATAATTGAAGCTTTTTGTTACCTGCCATGCATGTAAAATAGATATGGGCTTAGATTGTGTGATTCCTGCCCACCATCTTAACTTTTTTGACCTGCCCCACAGATCTGCCTGCTGCTGACTCTGATCAGGAGTTCTTTTCAAATGGAAAAGGGGCAGGCTAAGTCAGGGGTTGTTGTGGTACCTGCATGCATTATGCTGCTGAACTGTGGATCCTAACCAAACAAGATACATTCACACAACACACTAAACCATTGCAGTTTCCTTAGTTTTGATTTAGTGCTTTGTGCAAGCTTGTGATTTATTCAGCAAGCTATGATTTAGTATGTCACATTAATCAGGCTTCAGTATCTTGGCCAAAATTGATAAATGGAAATACATTAAAGATATATTAACTATGTTGGCATATATGAAACAAAGTTCCTGATGGAAAACCTGAAAGACCAGGTTAGAGACAGATTGTCATGATCAAAAGTTTATGTAGTTGCTAAGACTTGGCACTAATTTGATGTCATATAAACAAACTAGGCTCAAATGGGGATGAGTAATTGGTGGTTACAGGTTTTATGAAACTCCAGCTATTGCTTAGCATGTTGTAGGAGTCCAGTTATCACATTTAAAGATAGTGGAATTTATTTATTTGAACACAGCATATTAATGAACTTGAATTTAATGTGCTGTGTTAATGTACATTAGAGGTGAACCAAAAGCATCCTGTATATAAAAATAACAGCCTTTTATTGGCAGTGGCCCATTGCTGATGAATTAATGCATCCTTTAAAAGAAAAAAGAATCACAAACTAATCAGGTATACTTTAAAGAAGATGCCAGTCTAACAAGCATCTCTTCCCAGGTCATCTGCCTGACTGTTCTGGCCTCGGTTCGGATCTACCTCACCTATCGTAACCTTAAGCCAATCACCCAGGATGTGCTGCAGCGGGACCCCTACGGACTGAAGCCGGTCCGCAAACTGATTGATGCTTGTGCCTTCCGGATGTACGGCCATTGGGTGAAGAAGGGAGAAGCTCAAAACAGAGCCGCCCTCTTTGAAAACACTCCCAAAGCCATCCTGCTCAGCTTGGCCGCTGAAGAGGAACTTCTCTGATTTCCAACATCTCCAGGGAGAAAACAATTCAAATAGCCTTTGGCATCTTCCTAATGGGCTGACCTGGGAATTCCAGCACGGTCCCAACACATGTGCTGACTTCAACTCCCACAATTCCCCAGCGAGCAAAGATGGAAATGAGATAGCAACATGTAAAGCTGAATATAGACCAGAATGCCTTTTCACTAAGTGCATTATTAGTATTATTACTGTTGGTCGTGCAATCAGTTTAGACTGGATCTGGCATTTTTGTTTACCAGTTACAGGTAGCCTTTGACTTACAACCATTCATTTAGCGACTGTCTGAAGTTACAACAGGACTGAAAAAAGTGACTTGCAACTGGTCCTTGTGCTTACAACCCTCACAGTATCCCCACAGTCACGTGACCAAAATTCCAGCACTTAGAATGGAGTACAGGTAGTCCTTGACGTACCACAGTTCATTCAGTGACTGTTTGAAGTTATAACAGGACTGAAAAAAGTGACTTATGATTATTTTTCACACTTACAATCGTTGCAGCATCCCCCACGGTCACATAATCAGAATTCAGACACTTGGCAAGTGATTCATATTTATGACGGTTGCAGTGACCCAGGGTCTTGTCATTGTCTTTTGTAATCTTCTGACAAGCAAAGTCAGTGGGGAAGCCAGATTCACTTAGCAACCACTTAACAACTGTGGCAAGACAGGTCGTAAAGTGGGGCAAAACTCACTTAACAAATATCTTGCTTAGCAACAGAAATGTTGGGCTCAATTGAGAAGTAAGTTGAGGACTACCTGTATTGACTCTGCTCTAGCCAACCACTTTGGGCAGCATATAAATGCAATAAATTTAAATTTAATAAATAAATTTATGATGGTTGCAGCATACCAAAATAATGTGATAACCAATTCCAGTCAGTTTTCAAAAAGCGAAGTCATTGGAGGAAGCCAGATTCGTATAACAACTGTAATGATTTGCTTAACAACCATGGCAAAAAGTAAAATCTGGCATGACTCGTTTAACAACCTCTTTGCTTAGCAGTGGAAATTCTGCTCCTAATCGTGATCATAAGTTGAGGACTACCTGTATTATTTCTGAAACTTCTGTGATCCAAGAATAAATGAAAAGCTCTGGAGTGCAAAGCAGCACTACCAAATCATAGTGCTAATTCCCATCCATGAAGGTTTCTCTATCGCTCCAGTCATAGGATGAAAAATTCAACAGGGACCTTTTTCCAATCAGCAAAGAAGTCTTCTCTCATCCCAGGACTGGGTGGCTGCTTTGAGGCTGAAAACGTCTCGTAGAAAGAGACTCACAAGCTTTTTAAATTGTTTTAGGCTGCCAGTCGCTTCCTTAGATTATGTTTAAAAAGCAATGGACAAATTTAATATAACTACATGGATCCTCCATGTTCAGCACAGTCTGTCTTATTTATTTTTTGAATGACGCATTGGAGAAGGAGGGGGTTCCTGCTTCCTTGTTACTGTTGGATTCAGAATGCTGGATTAGCATGTCTTAGAACCCAAGTCTTCCATTCAAAGCGGAAGAGATACAGTATTTGGCATGATGTCTGAAATGGAACTTCCGTGTTTCAAGCCAGCCTATTTCTGAATGCCAGCTACTGTGAATCACTGGGTGGAGTGGGGTGGAGAGGGGGTTGCAGCCTGTCATGCTTCACTGATGTACCGTATGTTGAGCCAGAAGAAGCTATTTTGGTTTAGTTCAGCTGCGCGCTCTGGAATGCCGTTGCTGCTTAAAATCCAGGTTGCCCTTAGTGCAATGAAACGCATCCCAATCCAGCAGGAGTAGGCAAAGAAAACATCTAATAAAAGCAGTTCCGTTATCTGTAATGAGGAAGATTATAGATGATAGATAAACGTCTAGCATTAACACATAGCTGAGTTATGTTGATGAAGAGTCTGTCACCCAGGTAGTTGCCGTAGTACTAGCAGTCAACTACTACTGGACTTACTTTTCCTTTTGTTGATTCGAAATGTTTTGTTGCTTATCCAAGTAGCTTCTTCAGCCTGAACAAGTTGGTTAGGAGGACCACATATATGTCCTCTAACATGTATGGGGTCCCTCTAACCAACTTTAACTTTAACCTAGAACTAAGAAGAAATTTCCTGAAAGATAGAACAATCAGTGGAACGACTTGCCTCCAGAAGTTGTGGCTGCTCCAACACTGGAGGTTTTTGACCGGACAACCATTTGTCTGAAACGGTATAGGGTTTCCTGCTTCAGCAGGGGGTTGGACTAGAAAACCTCCAAGGTCCCTTCCAACTCTGTTATTCTGTTAACTTGCTCAGACTGAAGAAGCTACTTGGATAAGCAACAAAACATTTCAAACCAACAAAAAGAAAAGTCCAGTTGCCATGACTCAACTCCACATAGATGTGTTATGGACTTATTATTTATTACAGCTGCACATAAAAACATGATTTTTTAAAAAAAATATTTAACAATAAATGTGCTTTATTTATTGAATATGACTGAATTGTGATATGTGGATTCTCAAATTTTATCCGAAGTTGACAGAACCTTATTCCAAATTGTCCATAATCCTGTCTCACTTAAAACTACTGCAGACTTATGCTGGAGGGGAGGGGAAGAGTGGGGGAAAGGAGAGGGGGGAGTTATAAGCAGTTCCTGGAAGGGATCTCAAAATCCAAAGAATTAGAGGCTGGATTATGACATAGTGCCAAACCATAATATGATTTGTTTGATTTTGGTTTATAGTGTTGTGTGAAGAAAGCCAACTGTGGTTTAAGCAATATTTCCAAAGAGGGTATGAGCAGTGCCAGTGACATCACAGCACCCTCACCATGCCCTTTGTGGCTCCTAGGCAAAGTGAGGGCCAAAAAGGTTTCTTATTCTGCCCAAAAAATTACCTTGTTAACTATGATTTTTTAAATTAATCAACCAATACAACATGCTGGCTATAGCCACAAGCTATAGCTTGCAAATCTTAACAGATGGGTTTATTCAAAATGCTATACCAAAAACAAATACTGTATATGACTTAGAGAAATGAATGAGCCCAGCCAATCTCAGTTTAGATAGCACAATGGTTTCATGCATAGGATTGTTCCAGAATGAAACCAGTAATCTGCAAATAACAAACAATGAGTATCTGAATTACACTTACAACCAGTGGAAAGGTTTTATTTATTTTTAGTTCTCAAACATTAACATTGCCTTTTATCAATATCATGCTAAAAATACCCAAAGTCTTGCCAACAAAAATACAGGCTGACCCATCTCCATAGGAGAAAAGATCTGGGTCTTTTTAGAAGAGTTTAATATTGTCTTCAGAGTTCAGCCTTTTTGCGGACAGCTTCCTGCGCTGGCTGCTTGACGAGGCTGATGGCACATCGGAAGCTCAAGTTGTCTGAAGAAGAATCGGGAGTGTTCCCCATCCTATGGATTAAGAGGAACAGAGTTTGTCTTAGCAGAAGGTCTCTTGGGTCATCTGGCCCAAATCCAGAGCTACTTCAGCATTCCTAAACGTTTTGTCTTCCCATGTTTTAGGACTGTAATGAGAACTCTGCCTGGGAAATTCTGGGGGTTGCAATCTAAATACACCTGAACAATGCCAGAGGGGGGAAAGTGGGATTTAGTTCATTCAATCAGTTCTTGGTGAGTTTAAAAAGGATTTCCCAATTAATTAAGCAATGGTAAACATTTAAATGTTTATTTAACATGGATCATAAATTATATAAAAAAGATGCATTCTCGCTTTTTCAACCTCTTCCCCAGCTGCCTGGAGTTTGTATGGGCAATCCCAAGATTTCTCCTCTCTCAGGAATTTTCAGTGGTCTGAATTCAGCATCCAGCTGCTGTTTTCAGTCATAATGACTCCTGTTGCCTGTATTTTCATCACTGGAAATCTTGGCAGCCCTGGCTGCTTTTGACAAAAGACGTAAGCAGCATCATGAGGTTATACCAGAAGCTCTACCCTTTTTAAATGTCTATGTGATGTTATGACACACATACAAAAGGGACAGGACTTATTACGCAACAGTGTACTGTTGCTCTTGTCAGACTGATGGCTGCTGCTGATTGCACTTGTCCAGTACACTGTAAGTTTTAAAATCTGGAGGAGAAGATGCTGATAAGATGTCACCTGCCAGCATACCTTGTTGTAACCTGAGCTTTGTGATTGGCAGAGCCATCTACTGTATCAATCCAGGATGCTCCTCGCAGGACACACATTTTTTGACCAAGCTGGCGGGATGCAGGACCATTTGGACGATACTCTGAGGATGTCCATTCCCAAGTATTTCCTAGCAAATCGTATAAGCCTGTGATACAGCAAAGACAGTAAAGAAGTATATGAGCCTTGGAAGATCAGAAAGGAAAAGAGCAAATAGGTAGAAAAGTGTATCTACAATATTTCTGAAAAACTGATGCTAGCATATTCTAAAACTAAACCTGCACTCATCACAAATTCAATTGCTGGCCTGGAACGGAGGTTCCAGTCCAGGTAATCCTTATGTAGCAACTACAATATGGACCAGCAGCTCTGTCACTAAGCAAAATATCATGTGACCACGTTGGATTTATGTCATTTCCATTAAGTTAATCACTTGCTGTTTTTGTGACATCATGTAACCACAACTTGCAATTTTACTGTAAAGCTCTCCATTGATTCTGCTTGTCAGAAATCAGCTTTGAAGCATAAAACTAGTGATCATGGGATACAGCAACAACCGTAAGGGCGAGGGCTGGTCACAGAGCTACTTTTTCTTGTGCCATTGTAACTTTGAACACACATTTAACAGGATAGTCATTAAGCAAGATCCACCTGTATTATCTACAGAACATTGTAAAATGCAACAATCTGTTAGGACAGTGGTTCTCAACCTTTTTAATGCCGCGACCCCAACTGGTCGTAAGTCGAGGACTAAACCGGTCGTAAGTCGAGGACTAAACCGGTCATAAGTCGAGAACTAAACCGGTCGTAAGTCGAGGACTACCCAACCGGTCGTAAGTCGAGGACTTTCCCTGCCCGGGAGCGCCGCGCATGTGTGGTTCCACCCCCTGCGCCGGCCGAGGCGTAGCTGGCAAGCGGCAGAGACGGAGCAGGCCGACCACCAGCTGGCCCAGCCCAAGGGAGGTAAG